TGGACGCCAGCGATGATTATGCGGCAGGAAGGGAAACCGATGTTTCCCACGATGTGTATTCACATCATGCATATGTTGTAGACAAGCATGACACCATGCCTCATCATATTTGTTTAATCTTACCATGCATGTCGCCCATGATCTGTAGGTAGAAAAAACCGAAATAGGAAAAAAACGCAAAATCAGTTTGCAGACTGCGTTTGTTCGGGCGTTGATGCGCCAGTCATCAGGGTTTCTGCATTAGACGGACATACATAACTATCCGCATTACGCCGCACTCGGCGGCATACGCTACCTGTTGGTCACGTCCGACTACCAGTACAGCTGGCAGGGATGGTCCGGTTCGGTTGGCGGCTGATCTGCACCTCTGTACCACACAGCACGCCTTACAGACGACGATCTGCTTGATCTTCACTCCGGCGGGCGGCGGTCTGCACCTCTGTACCACACAGCACACCTTACGGGCGACGATCTGCTTGATCTTCACCCCGGGGGGCGGCGGTCTGCACCTCTGTACCACACAGCACGCGTTACAGGTGGACGATCTGCTTGATCTTCACTCCGGGGGCGGCGATCTGCACCTCTGTATCACACAGCACGCGTTACAGGTGACGATCTGCTTGATCTTCACTCCGGGCGCGGCTATCTGCACCTCTGTATCACACAGCACGCGTTACAGGTGACGATCTGCTTGATCTTCACTCCGGGGGCGGCGATCTGCACCTCTGTATCACACAGCACGCGTTACAGGTGACGATCTGCTGATCTTCACTCCGGGGGCGGCGATCTGCACCTCTGTACCACACAGCACGCGTTACAGGTGACGATGTGCTTGATCTCCACCCCGGGGGGCGGCGATCTGCGTCTCTGCACCACACAGCACGCGTTACAGGTGACGATCTGCTTGATTTTCACTCCGGGGGCGGCGATATGCGCCTCTGCACCACACAGCACGCGTTACAGGTGACGATCTGCTTGATTTTCACTCCGGGGCGGCGATCTGCGCCTCTGCACCACACAGCACGCGTTACAGGTGACGATCTGCTTGATTTTCACTCCGGGGGCGGCGATCTGCGCCTCTGCACCACACAGCACGCGTTACAGGTGACGATCTGCTTGATCTTCACTCCGGGGGCGGCGATCTGCACCTCTGTATCACACAGCACGCGTTACAGGTGACGATCTGCTTGATCTTCACTCCGGGTGCGGCGATCGGCACCTCTGTATCACACAGCACGCGTTACAGGTGACGATCTGCTTGATCTTCACTCCGGGGGCGGCGATCTGCACCTCTGTATCACACAGCACGCGTTACAGGTGACGATCTGCTTGATCTCCACTCCGGGGGCGGCGATCTACACCCTGGCGCCCCGCCCTCAGTCTTGTCAGGTCGAGGCGACAGATAAGACTGAGGCAGCAAACACTGGCTGGCTATGACGTCACATCAGGAGCTGGGCGACGCCGCTCGCGCCATAGTGCGAAGACGCAGTCACAGATGTGACCCCTGGTCGCCGTCGACGCGACCCCAACAGTCACAGGCGTGACCCCTGGTCCTCGCCGACGTGACCGCAGCAGTCACAGATGTGACCCTTGGCCACAGCCGACACGACCCCAGCGGTCACAGGTGTGACCCCTGGTCGCAGCCGATGCGACCCCAGAGGTCACAGATGTGACCCCTGGTCCTCGCCGACGTGACCGCAGCAGTCGCAGATGTGACCCCTGGTCGCAGCCGACGCGACGCAGCTCTGCCAACACACTGCAGGGCAGCGGCTGAATCAGCGGGCGGGCGACTCCATCTCGATGCATGAACATGTCACACCGGCAGGCGGGCGCCCCGAATTTCCTGAGGTGGTGTGAGCAGGCGGGGACAAACCTTTGAACGGGCGCTATGGGTTTTAGAGGCGCTGTTCAAAGTTTTCGACTTCGTTAACCAGAGAAGGAGGGCGTAAGCGCGTAAAACACGTTAGGTATGCAAGACAGGAAGCTTTGTCCGTCAAAATTTGGTTTGTTTTTGCCGCTGTCGCTGGTGTTTTTTTCTGGTCGAAATCTATTCATCTTCTCTACATGGCGGAGAAAACAAATGTGCTCGGAAAACAGCGAATGCGGTCATATTCTGCAATTTTGCGTGACGTGCCAGCCGACCCAAATGTATTTAATTGTCAGAATCCAGTCGAGCTAAATCACATGTTTGTAGATGCAATCACGCACTTTGCGTCCTTTTTCACATGCGTCAAATTATCCGATCCAATCCTTTGCAGGGAAATCTAAAGTTTGCATGATAATCCATGTCAATTGAGTGTGCTTCATCTCAATTTAACCTCTGATGACAAATAAAACACACGTGAGAACCGTACCTTCGTAAGTTGTCATTCTTAATTAGCTGTCAGCTCCCGCTGAAACACTTCTTCGAACACAGCTACAAGATGAAAGTATTTCACAGGTGGTTGTAGCGGTCTGTTTTGTTCATGGTTAGAGGGAATATGTCACCTTTTTGTAGTTTTCACTTATTGTTAGATCAGACGCGTACAATTTGAGCACTCATTCTGGTTTTCTCGAAATCCTTCGAAAAGGTCAGGATTTCGATTTGAAGTAGTCGCTGCTGCGGAAGAAATATCAATGGATTCCCTGTTCACCAGTATGAAAGTAAGACAGTTCATTTGCCGCGCTCGTCCATTATGCATGTTCTTAAATGATTGCAACACACGAATTAGTAAAAACGTTTGTGTAATAAATGCTTTGTTTGGACAAAGCATAAGCGAACATGAGGCTACTGTTACCCGAATTCAACGATACGTTTCCAATAAAAGATCGTAAAAGCGTAAAAAACGGCCTCCACGCTATTTTCAGCTCCCGCAAAGTTTTTTATTTGACTTGATGTTTATTTTTGATTATGGACATTAAGCAGTACATGATATGAGTGGATTTGCGCATAAGCGGAACGCTTAAATCTGAGCGCCTCTCCTAACAATAACAAGATATGGTCATCGCCGCCAGGGAACCCACGACACACCGCCCACTCGCCCGATCCGTCAGCCGACACGGGCCAGGCGCCCGCCGCCACTCCAGTCCACACATATAGCCGTCTCGGCCGGCGGCGGACACCCGGCCTGGCAACGCCACCCAGTGGCCCGTCTGCTGCCCGCGCCAGCTGAAGGTTTTTAGGCGAATCTTTTGGTCTGAAAAAGGAAAGAAAAAGAAAAAGGCATTGCGCTTGTCACGGTTTTAAGGCAGACTTTAGTTTTGTGACTGGGAGTATCACATGGCCCATTTTGCCGCCCTAGTTCAAATTTTAGCCGATGCACTTCTCGGTAACAGACCCTGGCCGCCCGCTGGATCCATCACCAACGTTCTTTTATTTGCACCAGAAGAGTGGCCACGGCGGTTGTCATGAGGACAGTGGGTGCGACTGCAGGGTTGAAGCGTATTGCTGTTACAAAGCGTTGACAACTTCATTTGGACTAAAACATGATTAAGATTGATATCTTTGTTATGTCTTAATGGTGCTGCAGCGACACTACCCCGTGGTATTATAAGACGCAACTGGTCCTGATGTTTCACAAGAGTATGTTTTTGAAATATACCCTAAAGGTGCGACGACCCTAAGGTTATATCTCAAAATACGAGCAATTGTGGCAGAAGAACCGCTTCCCGTGCCTCGTTGTAAAGTAAGCAAGCCAAGCAGGGGAAACCTGGAGCTGTAATTGTTTCATATGGCGTACAAAAAACAGTCATCTTTTCAACTTGACTAAGAACCTCCATCTCGAAATTTGGACGAATTTTATTAACTTCAGCTGAGCTACGACGCATGAAGAAAACACACTGCGCATTCGACCGAAGTTAGGAGCTGCCATTGTTGTTAGATACTGCAACAGTTACTTTACGCTCGTTCATGCTCATTTTTTTGCTATTAAATTCATTTCATTTAAATTATAATTGCCTTATCAGAGGCCAGTCAAGAAGAAAACTGAGTGCCACAAATCTGATCGGAAATATATATCACCGGTGGCTTTGGTTTTCCAAAAAATCGTCCTGGAGTGTAGCCTGTGGGATTTTCATCGCCCCTATCATTGAAAATTCCTTATCCGAGGCCTTGTGGTAAATTGCAGTTGCATGCATACTTGCAGTTCCTTGAACTTCACGGACCAAGAGTACGGAACGCGCATACCAGAGATTAGTTGGCGGTTCACTTTGCTTACCTTTATAGGTTCTTACTCACGGAGTTGTCTTGTCCCTTACTTCAAAATTGCTCTCACGCCACTGCTAACGGCTACACCGACCTTCAATCAAATGGTCGTGATCGCGTGAAATGGTCGTTTCCTCGTTAAAACATGCCTGTCCTGGCTTTTTCTATGGCCATTTTAAGCCAGCAATCCCGGCCCCTGGCACTGCTCCACTGTGGCTTGGAAACCCTTCCCATTCAACGTGAGGTCAGCCTTCTCATTAGGCTTAGAGAGCCTGGGCTAAGGGTTAGGCTTTCCAAGCCCCTCGGTTTCGCCAATCTCATTGGTAGTGAGTATTGATGCGTGCCCTTCTACCGCGTCCTGAGAACCATCTATCTTTCATCCTCCACCGTTCGTCTACCATTTGGGGCTAATGAATTTGACTTCACTTACGCTTTTGAAGGACCTTTTCCACTCCATGTTACTTTCAAGAGAGACGCCAATTTTCGGGGTTCGATACGGAGTCTGGCCCCGTGTCCGGGGCTCAGCCCTAGTTGGCGCACCAGCAACTTCATTTTCAATGAACAAAACGTTCAGCTTGTATTTACGTTGAAAAATACGATACTTGAAGTATTTAAATACTAAACTGCAAGCATTAAGCACAATCAGTGTGTGAAGGAAGCGAATTAAAATTTTCTGCCGTACCAATGCTGACGTTTAGACGTTTTAAGCCAATTTTATGAGTTTAGTAGTTGACTGCTTTTGACATAGTTCGATGTGCGCAATGTCTGTCTAAATGTTTTGTATGGAGGTTAATGCACTCTCCAAGCGAGCCTTGTGCCCTGTGTGGTCGCCTAGTGTGTGGTTGTGACGGTGCTTTAAACGTATTATTTGTCATGATTTCTCCCCACAGAATGTAACAAGGTAATCATACTCTGGATGGGCTCGTTTTTCACGTTCGGAGGGGTGAATTTTGTCCTGGTGGGGAACGCAGCGCGAAATAATCATCGCCGGTCTGCCTGTGCGGTCTATCGCGGTGGCGTGCTGAATGTGTTATTGTAAATGCGTGCTATGGGTACTGTACCTTTCGACCGAATATGTGTATTCCTATGCACATTTACTGCTGTGCTCACATTGATAGATTTTGACACCTGTGATTGACTATTGCCTATTTGTGATATCTGCTCACTGCTAATGTGGATTTGTTGTTAAATGATGTCCTGACAGCATCACCTGAAATTACAGCCTAAAATACACATTTCCTGCTGTATAACATAATCATCAGGACCCTGTATCAGAAATGTGTTTCAAATCAATCTAAGCCACCATCTACAGCAGGCCATCCTCTCCTTGAATCAGTCTCCTTGGTTTTGCAGTAGAATTCCTAATTTTAGTGTGCATCATTGGATGGTAGTACATTGGAATGAACATTATGAAGGCAATACATCAATACAAAGGGCAATACAATTTGGGCCACAAAACATCACAAAGCACAAGATATTAAAACAAGCATCAGATGTATGAAATTAACTCATTTATTACTACTGATGTACTTTTAAATGAGAAAGACTGCTCTAGACAACAAAGGATTTCTTTTTAGTAAATATTCCCCTTATGTTATGATGTTTTGTTGCTTTTTATTGTCATGGAATTATTGTAAGATGTTGAGGTGTGGCCAAACAAGCTGTGCAAAATTGCTACTTAATATGTCAGACTGGTTAAGAGGTGGCAGCAGAAGCTTACAAGTGTTTGCCAAGCCAAATATTGTTGTGTGGCAGTGTTTTGTCTCTTTCTCATAGTGTTCTTGCATATTTATCCCTAAGTTTAAGATGTGTACTTGTGTTCACATCCTTGGTTATTGCATTTTTCATCAATAATTTGAGCTCAAGTCTAATTTCTGTAATGAATAGCAAATGAAGAAACCATGCTTAGCATCTCATGAAGAATAGCATGTGCTTTGTGATTGAAGCTTGCACATCCTGCTCCACATTATTTGAGAGCCAAATGATATCCATTATGTGTGGATGCCAGATCTGAATGGCTGGAAATTAGAGGGTTTTGGGTCTTTGCAAGGGCAGGACTGTGGCATACAGATAATGATCTTCAAATAACTCCCAGCTCAAAATCCCATACAAATGTAGGGACTTCTGTTAAGATCAGATATAACTTGGGTGCATCTCCTCTCCCCGCAGGGTTGGTACCCCACAGGAATACTACTGTTTTATTAATTGATGTATTGCCTTCATGATGTTTGTTCCTAGGTACTAGCAACTAGCATGCAATGATGCACACTAAAATTAGGAGTTAAACTGCAAAACCAAAGAGACTTAGTCAAGGAGAGGATGGCCCACTGTAGATAGTGGCTTAGATTGGTTTGAAATGTGTTTCTGATGGAAGGTCCTGATGATTATGGTATACTGCAGAAAATATGTATTTTAAGCTGTAATTTCAGGCAACACTGTCATTGGTACAAGAAACAGACATGTTGCTGACATATTTAAAATTTATGGGACTTTGGCATAATAATATTACTTCTATATCTCTTAGTCACTGTCTGGAGTGACAATGCTTAATCATGCTATTGTTGCAATCTTGACAGGAAACAATCAGCACAAAGCAGAAATGTCTTGCTGCTGCAGACTTCAGGCTGAAAGGGATCACATATTCCACTGGTTGTTCATTGTATCACAACAAAATGGTGATGGGAAATGATAGTTGAAGTCATGGTGCAAAACAAATGAACATTGCAATGATACATCTATCTCTCTATTCTCCTAGTTGTTGTATGGTTAATAAGGCTTTAAGGGCTATCTCAATTACACCAGGTGCAAAGAGTTAGAGCAATCTCTGCCCCTCCTCCCTGCAATTTAGGCCATGTTTTTGTCAGGTGTACCCAGGTGTCTGAGAGGCCTGTGTTGTGGCAGCTGGTATTCAGAGACCTGAGCTGTTGTGGCTGTTATTCAGAGACCTGTGTTGTGGCAGCTGGTATTGAGAGACCTGTGCTGTGGTAGCTGGTATTGAGAGACCTGTGCTGTGCAGCTGGTATTCATAGACCTGTGGCGTGGAGGCTGGTATTGAGAGACCGGTGTGTGGCAGCTGATATTAAGGACTTGTACTGTGGCAGCTGGTATTGAAAACCTGTGCTGTGGCAGCTGGTATTCAGAGACCTGTGTTGTGGCAGCTGGTATTGAGAGACCTGTGCTGTGGCAGCTGGTATTAAGAGACCTATGGTGTGGAGGCTGGTATTGAGAGACTTGTGGCGTGGCAACTGGTATCGAGGGACCTGTGCTGTGGTGGCTGGTATTGAGAGACCTGTGTTGTGGCAGTTAGTATGTTAGAGCTACTGACTGCTTGTGTGGGCTTGACAAACACTTCAGCTTAGAGTGGTGTCATTTTGAAACAAATGTCTATTAAACTCATTGCATTCATCAATGTCTCTACACATGTCAGCTTAGAGTGGCATCATTTTGAAACAAATGCCTATTAAAGTTATCACATTCATCACACCTGCATGTGTATATGGCTGCATTGTAGGAAAGTGTATTGTGTATACTCTTGGCTGGATTCTTAACAGCCATTGCACATATGAATGTGAAGAAGGCTGCCTTTGGCTGGGACAGCAGGCATGACAGCAGGGCAGCATTGACAAACCCATCTGAGGGCATTTATATGGGAGCCACCCATCTGTGTTGGCTGGTTCATTCTTGGCGAATCTCAGAGTTGTCCAGAACTCAATTTGTGACGTTTTCCAAAGTCTACAGGACCAGCACTAACAGCCCCTCTGTGGTCCACCTGTGTGACGCAGCCACCTCTGCCCCAGGCAGTGGGCATGGAGGAGCTGGGCAGCTACCTGTCGCACGGCGGCACGGCCGGCTGCATGGCCTACGCCGAGTCGCTGTCGCCGCACGTCAGCAGTCCCGACTCGCGCTGCATCCTCTGCGACTCGTACATCACCAGCTCGACCGAGCCGCCCACCGGCGTCGACATCAACGGCTTCCGGCTGCCGAGCACGCAGGAGACGTTGGCCGAGAAGCTGGACACGGTGGTGCACCCTGGCTGCGGCACCTCGGTCCATGCGGCCGCACACCACTGGCAGATGAAGGTGCGGGCTCGGGCGGGATGGGGGAGGGGCTCGCCTGCACGTCGCTTCACACGGTCCTTCTTGGTCCACGCTACACTTGAGTTTACGCGACTGTCTACCCCTGATAGATCAATACGTGAAAGAGTGGGCACTAGCAGATGCCTTAAGTTTTTTATGCACATGGTGGGTGGATGGCTGTCTGCATGTTATATTTTTCATGGAAGGGAAAGCATTTAGAAAGGCAGTTTTTATCATTCCTTTTGTGGCAAGTTCGTGTTCTCAGAATGGGTTGATATTTGGAGTTTTGTATCATTGCTTGTGTTTATTTTCGTTCTGTAGCTACTGCTACCAATTGGATGTGTTATCTTTACCCTTTTATGACTAATTTCTGCGTGGTAAGCGGTCTGGAATAAACTCTGGGTACAATGGTCTGGGACAAGTTCTGGATACAATGGTCTGGGACAAGCTCTGGGTACAATGATCTGGGATAAGCTCTGGGTATAATGGCCTGGGAAAGTGTTGGGTGTTACTGTAACCTGAGAACTCGCTTGGCGGCGCTAGGTGGCGCCAGATGTACATACGGTGCGAGAGAGTCCCGCCCCGCGTCTGCAGATGGCGCGCACCAATGCACAATCGCATCGCTGTATGAACCATGCATACTGTCTACACGATTATAGTCCTTCAACACTGTTTTGTAGCTTGTGATATATGCGGTGATCGTTGAAATGTGTGCAGGCTGCTCTTATCTAACGGTTTGATCGAAAAATACATCGCAGGTATGATATCACCATCTGTGTTTGTAATGTGTTTTCCGTGTGTCAGTGTTTTCTTTTCGTTTTATGTTTGCCTCGCACACATGCATAATGGGATGAGTTGTATGCTATGATGCTTGTTTTCTGTCATTTAGCCATCATTGATCTGTATAGAACATCTCCCAGGAACCCCACATCACCAATTCAACGTGTGCGTCGTAAAATGAAGCATCAACATAGATGTGAGACTCGCCGCCTTTCGTGTTTCTCCTTTTATCAGCTGATTGGGACTAGCGTATGGCCTGGTCCCCGAGCAGCAACATGTGTCGTACTTCAACGTCGCTCGCTGGTGCTCCCTCAGTTCATCTGCATGTCGTGCTCGGCGGTGGTCATGACGCTCGACTCTTACGAAACCAAGATCCTGGAGATCCGAGAGGAGATCAAGCGCAAGTTCGTCGACATGATGAAGATCAGGGCAGAGAAGTACGGCCAGCTGCAGGTGAGGCAGGCCTCTGGAGCGTGGGATGCTGCGCACAGGCTCGCCCGTTTACAAGTCGGTGGGCGTAGCGATCTTTCTTTTGCGTCATGTTTGACGTCAGAGAAATCCTCGTGAAGTCGATGCGAGGTTTGACACGATTGTGTGGTGCTGTAGATGCGGAGCAACGTGAATGCACGTGTGACATGACTGGGCGAGAAGAGTCCATCTCTGTTTCCTGGGTGGTCGCGGCTCGCTACAGGGATAGTGTTTGAGGTCACTCTGCGTGTGTGTGTGTGTTTTGGAGTTTGAAATAACTGCCATGAAGAGGAACTTCATTGATAGGCCTTACATGGTCCGCCGAGTACTACCAATGCTCAAGATTCCTCAAAGCTGGAAGTTGAATGGGTGCATGCAATAGGCATTTGATACATTACATATGTGCGGCACTCCATAGTGTATTGACGCTGGGCACGCGCTCCAAATATTGTGTGCCCGCTCTCAGCCACCTCCGGCACCGCATTCCGCGTCATATAGCTGAGGTTGCCACTCGGTGTGGCTGGGCAGCACAGTGCCCTGTCGTGGCGGCGCGTCCGAGTGGTGTGACCGACGGCCGCCTGCCGCCCACAGCCGCCGCCGCCGCCGCCGCCCGTGTCGCTGGCACCGACGCTGGTGAAGCGGGAGCCGGGCGACGAGTCGGCTGCGGCGGTGGACGACCCGGCCGGCGAGCGGCCGGAGTGCGAGGTGGAGCTGCACGAGCCGGCGGCCGGCGGCCAAGTGTCGCCGCACGCCGAGCTCACCTGCCCCATTTGCAACAAACAGTTTCGCAACAAGTACAACCTGAAACGGCATAGCACCGTGCACGCCGACGTCAAGCCGTTCAGCTGCGAGTTCTGCACGCGCGCCTTCCGCCAGAAGGACCACCTGAAGACGCACACCCGCTCGGGGCCGACGGCGGCGCCGCTGGCGTGCGCGCCCTGCGGCCTCACATTCCCCTGCTTCACGCTGTTCTCCGAACACCGGCAGCAGTACCACAGCGATGTGGGCGACAACGCGTGCCGCCACTGCGAGTTTGTGTTCACCACGCCGACCGAGCTGCGGCGCCACTGTCGCCAGGCGCACCCGCACCCGGTGAAACAGGAGTTCCGCTGCTCCGTGTGCGGCCGCGACTTCCCCAACGGCTTCAACTTGCGGCGCCATCACCTGACGCACTCTGGCGAACGGCCGTTCGGCTGCGACGTGTGCGGCAGCGCTTCACCCAGCCCTCTATCCTCAAGAAGCACAACCGCGTACACGAGAAAAAGCTGCCCACCCTGAAGGACCTGATCACCACCATGTGAGCCGATGGTGCGTGCCAGTGTGGGTTCCGGTCTTGCCGCTGCGTGTGCACGTGTTGGTGCGTCCCTTTGCGGGCTGCCTGGCTGGTGTAGATCGACAGGCAGCATGGGGGCTTTTAAAGAAATTAGGCGAGGGAAAAATGGAGGCATGTGGATCCATTCCCCAGTGAACAATATGCCAAAATGTGCACATGATCAGTGACAGACCATTGTCGAGGTCCCCTTTGTGGAGGTTCCGAACAATCAGCCACTGCCTCCGACTGAGCGCGAGGGTAGCCGGACCGGGCCCTCTTCTGAAGCTGGGCCGGGACTGTGCGCGCGCTGGTGTGAGTGAGGCCCGGTTGGTGTGCGTGATGGCAGCTGGTGGCTGCGGTGTGGAGAGTTGTGTACGGGGCACCTGGAGGCTGGGCTGGCGGGCAGAGTGTGGCCGCCGCCGGCCGGGAGGCGCCACTCCCAGGCGCTCGGCTTTTGTACAAATGCTCGGCTTCGGATCGGTCGTTTGTATGGCATATTTCACGATGCGTTTGCAATCACGAGTGTAGCTATGTGACTCCACTCCAGTCGTGTCAATTTTGTGAGCTAGGTTGTGCCCGTTTTCTACAACCACCGATCTTCGCATTTGTTCCTCTCCTTTTGAGCTTTTGAGCGTTTTGAGCGCGGGTAACGTAGTCAGACTGCCCCTACCGTCCGCCTTTAATGGAAGCAAGCTCATATTTCTCCTTTTGGGTTTTCAGTGTGAACCGCACCGTCACATGACCGACCTCCAGGTACAATTTTGGCTATGTTAGTTCAAATACCTATGCAGGGCTGTGCCGGCCGCCGTCGATGGCCGCTTGCGCCGTGTACGCAGTTGTGCTGCCGACCCACTGGTCTGCGGTGGGACAGGGGCGCAGCGTGGGCCCGGCCGCCACGCACGCCTCGCTACGTATGGCGGCATATCGACGCTTCACAGTGTGCGCTTACCTGGTTGCCAAATTTCTTACCAATACGTCCAGCGCGGTGGGAGGATCGAGGCGTACGCGTTGTGCAGTGGCTGGCGTTGTGCCGGGCTCACGCGCCACTCGGGCGCCGCCCACGCTGTCTCACCACGCGCCCGTGCGGCTGGCCGGCGAACAGCAGGCCTGCCTCCGTAAGTGAGCGGGCCTGACCAGTGCACACCATGGGAGGGAGACGCCAGGGTTCTACAGGATGCAGGAAGCGGCCGCTGGCGGCGTGCCGTCTTCTCTCTACTAATGAATGTACAAGTTATGTGTTGTGTGTGCTGCGGGTAGAGGTGTCTGTTCCTAGCAACTCACTGAAACGTTCCCTGGTTCGAAGATTCGCATTTCTGCCTGCAGTTAGACCTTTTACGGCCGCTTTTTAACGTTGGCTTTATTTTTTTACTTATTATGTGTAAGTGTATGTGCGTAGGTAACAAAGCGTGTTTTGGAGCTTAGGCCATTTGTTATTGCCGCCACGTAGATGAGACAATAAATAGACTACAGACAGGCCCGCGTGTGTCATTCGCGTCAAAGATGGGGCGGGTGATCGAAGGCCTCCGTGAGGTGCCCCGTAAGGTTGGAATCTCGCGTGTCCTCGGACATGACTTGCTTGCGGGGGCCGTCACGGTCGGACGTAGCTGAGATTGGGCGGACTCCGTTCCGGGCCGGGCTCGACAGTGGACCCCTCGTCTCTGTGATGTTTTCGTCCAGCGGTTCAGCTCAGCTCGGTCAGAGAGAGACGTGTTGCGACGCGGCGATTTGGTATTGGACCGAGTCCAGCGGCGTCCTGCCCCTGCTATCCCAGGCAGGCACGACATTACATTAGTGCGGTGAAAACCACTCATAAGTAGCTTGCATACACGCACCTATCACGCGTCCCGTACGATCCGCCACGGGACGGCAGTCAGCGCCCGCGGTGATAGGTCGCATTCCACCGCGCGGGCGAGGCCGCGCCACGACACGGCAGGGACGGCATGCTGTGCCGCCGGGCCGGCTGGGCGTGCTCACAACAGCCTCCGACCGGCCGGCCTCCTTCGATTTGCAGAGTCGCGGGGAAGCAGTGGGGGCTCGTTATCACCGAGCAGGCCGGGGAGCAACTGACACGGGAACTGGTGTGAAACGCCAGCCTAGTACTGCTGCTGGGGTTGGGACGACAAGGGCTTGCATGCTGAATACAGCTGGTTAGGCCTAGTGCGGCGGTGTTCGTCAAACCTGTTGTGACTGGAGTTGGGTTGATG